GGGAGAAACGGGGTGTTCGGGGCTTCTTACACCCCACACTGGGGCAGCAATGGCTCCTGCCACCCTGGGGCTCCCACTCTCTTTTTTCCTTCAAAACCAGGAAATGGCAGCGAGAGATGTGTTTGGGAGAGCCAGCCCCCACCATGCCCCTGTTGCAGCTCCCTTGCTGCTACTCAAAGGACAGCAGGTCAGGATGGGGCCCCTCCACCTCCCGGCCGGGGGTGCACGGCTCCGGCCGCCCCGTGCTCCCTGGTAGCTCACGCTCCAGCGCTCCCACTCTCTTTTTTCCTTCAAAACCAGGAAATGGCAGCGAGAGATGTGTTTGGGAGAGCCAGCCCCCACCATGCCCCTGTTGCAGCTCCCTTGCTGCTACTCAAAGGACAGCAGGTCAGGATGGGGCCCCTCCACCTCCCGGCCGGGGGTGCACGGCTCCGGCCGCCCCGTGCTCCCTGGTAGCTCACGCTCCAGCCCTGGTCTCCGGGCAGGCTTCTCTGTGTGGGGTGAGGTCTCAGTGGCCTTCTCACCCACTCGCCACTGGCTCTCCAGGCTGCCCTTATGGATGAGGTCGGGCACAGGGAGGGTGCCGGTGGACTGGTCCCCACTCGGCTCTGGGGTGCCCGTCATGCTGGGGACCCCAGGGCATTGTGGAGGGGATGGGTCCCTCGTCCCCGGCCACTCCTCTGCAGGGTCTGGGTGGGCAGTGGGCAGTTCGAGGGGCTCCTCCGTGCTGCTCCTGGGGCTGGTCCCTGCTGGCTGCGGCGCGATGAGCATGTCCTGCGGGGTCTTCAGGGCGCGCGGTGTCCGCTTCTTGGTGACGGGGGGCGGGGGGTCCAGTCGGGGAAAGGTGTCCAGCCCCACAGCCCTGCAGGCACAGAGGAGCAACGACATGCAGCTCCACGCTGGGGCCTCTCCCGCAACCAATGGCCCCACCACAGGGTTCACGCCATGGGGACACTCACCCGTCCTCGCTGACTGGCTGTCCGGTGCCCAGCATGGCCCCGGCACTGGCGTTCACCTCCATCACGCCCACGCTGGGGAGGCT